GAACACGTCCAGCCCCTCCAGAAGCTGTCTAACCCAGTCCTCCCCAACCTGAGGTCTGGAGGCGTTCCCCTTGAGTCCGTCTGGCATCACAGTGGGGAAGTCCTGGTCCCTGCCCAAGAAAACAGAGGTGAAGAATTGGTTAAAGAGGTCTGCTTTCTCCTCCAATAATCAGCTTGAACAGGAAGCTGCGCACTGGAAAGCCCAAGCCTAGACCTGGCTGGCAGTGCGCGTGGGAAAGCAGAATGGAAGCAGTGGAGAAGGTCCCCCCTTCCATAGCCTGAGGTTTTAAAATGAAGTGTTGGGTGAGGTTGGGAACCTCTATCCTCTGAGCGAGGTTAGCTGGGTATATGCCATGTTTAGTGAAAGAGGACTATGACCCATTTTGTTCGGGTGTTAACACGGACTTTACAAATTTTAAGTAGCCAGTGCGTCTTCAACGCTGTCTTAAAACAAGGACCTTTCTAGTTGCTCAGACCTCAGTGAACTCCTTCCTAAACATCCATGCTGAATGGATGGATGTTGAACTATGTCCGAGTACCAACATGGACAGTCAGCAATGACGTGCAGTCCTCTCCTCTCCCAGCTGGCAAAGATCTGCATCCCAGGATTGGAACAGGTTTAACATGATGCTGCTGAGACTGTAAAATACTATTTAAGTTAGAAGCACAAGATCCTTCCAAAGCCACCAGCTCTCACATGGTGCAGCCCCCTGGTCCTTTTGGCCATTGTTCCTGGGTGATTCGGATGAGGTCGCATCCTGGATGTAACGCCTTGCTGACGCAACTACCTGCGCAGGGCTCTACCTTTGGAAGCAATGCCTCATTGAGAAACACAGTAAGAGTTTAGGGCAGAAGGTGTTGCCACCCATTTACCTTAGCCATTGTCACCTTCCTCTAGTTTTTGAATCAGCAGTTCTTTTGCTGCCTTCCTTCAAACCAGCAGCTTTATACTCTCTCAAAGCTTTTTGTCCTCCATTTCCTCTTTTCCAGGGTTACAAAGCAGGTTGCTTAACTTGCAGGTGTTCTGCTCTGACTATAACATACCGACATAGGAATTCAACTTAACACCCATTCTGTGCTTTTCAATACCTCTAGGAAAAAAGTAATTGCATTTTCTTTCACTGATCCCAGTTCTTGAATGATGCAGGACTTGGCTCTACTGTCACTTGAATGCCACCTGCTTATTACATCCTTCTTTGAAATCATTTAATGAAAGATTTTAATCATTTATTGCTTTGCCCCTCAATTAAAATCCCTGCAGTCCTCCCTTCCCCCCCATCCCTCACTTCTTTCTACTAATCTAATTCACATTGCCTCTGCTCAGGACTGTGTTAGGTTAGTTTATGCTTGTGTGTTCCTAGGAAAGTGATCACGCCCTGCCCTGCAGAGGGGAGAAGAAATCTCCACGATCCTTGTCCCGATAAGGGAGAAACATTTTCCTGGACCCAAATCTGGCAATTGGTGATCCGTGACCCAGAGAGGATGGACAATGTAGGGCCTGCTCTGCCAACCTTATGCTGCCCTGGAGCCCTGTATGCAGGCCTGCTGTCCTCGGCACATCACAAGAATTGTGCAGAGTATGGAGCCAAGGACCTGACCTATGATTACAACAGGTTTTGGCAACATTCGGGAGTAGGAGGGACTATTTTAATAGAACTTTGTTCTGCATGGGCTACTTCCAACTCAACCCACACCACCACTGCAGTCTACAGCCCCTCGGGCAAATCTCCGGTCACAGAAGTCCACTGCCAAATCACCATGCAAGCCCCTCAGCTCTGTGGGTGGATAAAATGGTTTCGGGGGTTGGATCCAGGCCATAGGTTACTGACCCCCAAGCTAGAACATGAGCCAAAGCTGTGAGCTGTTTCCAAACCAAGGATTTGGTTGTAACCAACCCACTCCCTTGCACCAAAACAAAAATTCAAAATAGTCTGGATGGGAGGTTTAATTTGGGCTTCTCTCCACTTCAAAACTTCAATACGTTTTATTTGTTTATCGTGGGACTTTAAAAGTTTGTTGGCGCTGTGACCTGAGCACATCTGGAGTGGAACACAGCTGAGTATCCCCTGCCCACCAACCTGTAAATACCAAGTCCACGTACGTGGGTGAAGCCGCGACAGGAGCGTCCTCAAGCATGTTGGAGATGGAGCTTTCAAAGGGGGTCACAGGGGGATGCCCCTGGGGTGACTTCCAGGTTTTGTGCATGCAAGGCAGAGCGGATGCTCTTAAGCATGCCCTAGCTGCTCTTTCCTGGGTACATTGGGGACATGTCCCCCTATTCATTAGACAGCTATACAGGAACCACAGTCCTCTCTTTCCATGACAGAAGTGTTGTATGGAGTTAGGCTGTCAACTTCATGGCTAGGTTCTAGTCTGGTCTCAATTTGACCTAACTTGGGTGACTTTCTTACATGTATATTGTGTCCATTGGCCTAGCTGTTTGGGTCCTGGTGAGGCCCACATATCAAACCAAATACAAACTACCAACCTACATTTGGACAATCTGTATTTTCATCTGTCTTCTAAATGGAATCGCCCGCAGCAGCTAGCAGTTTTCCTATCAGCATTTTTTGCAGGTGTTATTTATGTTGCACAATGAGATGATGAAAGCTTGTCAGGTCCTTAGCAGGGCTCCTGTAAGCCAGGATTTAGGCAACACAGCTGAAAACAAGCCCAGTACGCAGATGATGTTCTGTAAGGATAGTCAGAGCTGTTGTGTTTGAGGTCAAAACTATGCTCCACTGCCTGAAGATTTCTTCACTGCTGATCTCGTTCTCTTTCACACAGTGGAGACACGGCAAATGCTGGCCGCTGACGAGCAGAGGAGGGAGTATTTTGAGGAGCAAAGGAATGAGCACGAGAACTTTGTTGAAGAAGAACATCACGGTAAGAACAAAATGTGATACTTTAGGTCAGCGGTGCCCAAGCTTTTGGCTTGTGGGCCAGAAGAGTGGTGTTCAGCCAGCCTGCAGACCAAAGCCCTTGTCCCGGCCGGACCCAGCCATGCTATCTAGTGCACAGGGCCACGTTACATAGCCTGCAGGGCTCCCTACGGGTTTGGATCTTGGCAGCACAGAAGTGCTAATTAATGCTGCTACTGCTTCCTCCACCACCAGGTTTTCAGACCCATGGGGAGCCTCTAAGCCAGATCTGGCCTGCAGACTGGTGGCTGAGCACCACTGCGTTTAGCTGGTCCTGCCGAGATCATTATTTGGTGCTTTGTAATTGTTCTAATGCAGCAGTGCCTAAAGGCCAGAATGAGGCATAGTCCTGTCGTGCAAGGTGTTGTATCAGCCTGAGATGGCCTCTTAGAATTGAACTCTGCTCCAGCAAGTACCATCCATTCCTAGGTGTCCTTATCCTGCTGTGTAGAATTCATACTGCAGAGAAGGGGAGAGGTCTGTTTTAAGTAGAACCAGTTCCCAGTTTGCATTTCCCAGAGGCAAGTCTTGCATCTCTCAAATCCTCACCTGGAAGACCTTGTTTCTGTGAAAGCCTGGTTTGGGGCCTGGTGGGAACTCGCTATTTAGGACATGTTGGAATGAGACTCCTTTTTATTGGGGTGAGATTTTAGGAATGCAGGACTCTGGGATTGCCTCTCCCAGCTGTTCCCATAGGTTTGGGCCAGCAAAGGGCACCAGTAAAATCAGCACTGAACACTGCAGCACACCCATGCCCATGGAGTCTCCATTTGGCAGCTATCTACATCTCCCATATCTAAACCCACAGGTTTCAGCTGGGCTTTGCACGCTGTGTGATGACCCTTCCATCTGATGAACGAGCATGCAAACAGCACCCTCTGCCAGTGGCAGTGTTTTCACACAAGAGGTTGCACACCAAGTAGTTTTGATATCAGCTGCCATATCACAGAACAAGCAAAGGAGTGGCAGCTCCAACAAGCAACTTCCCTGCATTTACTTACCAAGAAAAGATTAGCAGCTGGGTAAAGAGAAGCAGAAAACCACTTGGGGTCAAACAGCAGGTCCCGAGAAAAGCAGGAAATAAAAGCCAGACCCCCTGGCACGCAGGGCCGTGCTTCAGAGCAGAAACTGTTGTGCTGCACCCTTGAGGCACACAAAGGAGTGACTTGCTTGGGTTATCTGTCAAAACAGGATAAATCTGAGAGAAATTGTGAAATCTGACAGGTTAACACTTATAAAACACTTTGGCATCCCTGAAGGAGGGCCTCCTCTGCCTTTCTCCAAGCTCAAACTAGTGTATCATCTTCATTTCTTTCCTGTCATATTGATAGAAGGAAAAAAAGACAGTTTCCTCATGTATTTCTAAACCAGAAATCAGAAATCTAATCTGAAAATGGTTCTTGGAGAACAAAGGTGACAAAATCACTTTAATTTACTTATTAGAGTGGTAGCACAGAATCAGTCCCTGGAAAGACTCGGCTGCCTTGAGGATGAACAATTTTCTCTCTAAGCAATCGTATTTCTTTCTACATTTATTTTTCAACTATTGATGGACATTTTTCTTACTTTTCTCATAACCACCCGATGCCTGCAACCATGCTGGCGGCAGACGTGAACGAAGTACACTAACGGCACAACTACCCAAGAGCGAGCCCCAGAGCTGGGCTGCAATAGGCTTTCCTGATGATGGGAGAGGGAGAGAGCATTACTACTGCTGCTTTCCAGCTGGTCCTCTGTACTTCCCCATGCTGTTGGGAGCTTGCATTAACAAAACGTTCACTGTGCACATTCTCTTACATATAAATGAACAAATGGCCCCATAGATGCTTCAGCTGGCTCACGAGAGAGCAAGTAGGAAAAGCCAGTTGTGGGATTGGAGGTTAAGACAGTGGGCAAAGGTAATGACAGGAGCAGAAGAACGTTTTCCTTGGATGGGTTGCTAAACACAACCAGATGGGCATTTGTGAAACCGCAAATGGACGTGGCTAACCGACCTGGGGCCTGGGGGGACTTTGCTGCATGTTCTGCCTTAGGAGGAGACTGGGAAGAAGCGACTCAGAGGCATTTCTTGTTTTTATTGCCTCCTTTTGGCTACATTTTGAGAAGACCTATTTGCTGGAAGTGGCTGGTCACTTGAGAAGCTGACATTACTTGAAGTGCCATTTGCAGGCAGTTTTAAAACGGTTCTTTGACAAATATCCATATTTTCCCCTTTAAGAGAGGCATTCAGGAACGCAAGACCTAAATACCTGCTAAATATATTTAACCCTTTACTTGCTAGCCCTGCCGTCAGACAGGCCATGTGGCTCTGCCTTGTGGTTTATCATGGAAATTAGCCATTAGGGCATTGGCATTTTCCAGCCAAATATGCATCTAAGAAAGTGTGAATTTTTGGATTTTTAAGAATTGTACCTAGCTTTTCCTCTCTGTGCTTGTATAAATCTAAAGTTTACCAAGGTTAATGGATAACAGGGATACACCTGTTGGATTCAGTAGCACAAAAGCTGCAGTCCAGCTTGACACTACCCAGCACATTCATTTGCACTCCAGTGGCTAATCTGATCTTCCTGCAGTTATGCCATTCAGAGGTACTGATGGCCACATTTAGAAGACTCAAAGCCAGCTGGTAAATCTGAATGACACAATTCAAAATGACTTCATTATGACTGTCATTAAGCATAGCCAAGGCAAAGGGCTCCTGCTGTGTGTGCTGCTGAATGACTCAGCGAGGACCATTCCATGGATTTTAGTGAAATCTAAATAGATGGCTCCAGAGCCTGAGAGACCTGCAGAAGGGTAGTAATATATTAGCTTTAACAGCTCAAAGAAACATGCGTCAGAATAAATTTACCTGGAAGGTATGTCAAGCCAGACATAGCAATCTGTAACCACTTTCTCAAGGTAACTGGAAGGTGAACATTAAAACTGGCCCCCAAAGAGCCTAGCACGATGGCACCCAGAGCTCCTAGGTGCATCTCCCTGCAGGAGTAAGTGTAGATCCAGGATGTGCTGAAGGCAGGAAGAGACATGAACTAGAACACATTTAGGAGCTTTTTAAATTCACATTTAGATAACAGAAACCTTTCAACAAGGTTTGCTGAGGTTTACAAGCAAAAGATATTTTTAGCAAAGCTAGACCCCTTTGAAGAATATAAAGTGGATTTCTGGATTTGCAAGTAACTTCTGCAGAGTTTCTGTTTCCGAGCTCTTGCATTGGTCCCACCCATCATAGTGGCAGCTGTGTAGCCCCATCACCTGATTTTTTCTTAGGAAAGGTGCAGAGTGGTGCTTGTGATCAGTGTGCATTGGCATATTGATGTGGCCTTTTTTAAGTGCAACTCAGGGAGAGAAAAGTTCCCAGACCAGAGGGAGACTTGCCACTGCATCAGCCAGTTCTGAACTTTGCAGGTGACCCTGATCTTTACCCATACTTGTGGGGGAACGTCTCCTTTTAACAAGGACAATACACTGGGCCTAACTTACCCCAAAATCTCTCTCTGCATTACATACAGCTTGGAAGCTAGGAACAGGCAGTAGGAGCTTTAAGAGAAAATCTTTTCTTCAACACTGTCCTAATTGCATTTGCTGCCTGATAGAAGACAAACTGCAGTTCAACTCTTTTTCTTGCTCCCCATCTACAGAGCAGAACGAGAGAACCCGGGAACAGACTGAGCAGTGGCGCCAATATCACTATGATGGTCTCTACCCATCTTACCTGTATAACCGCCATCACATCTAAGTCTGTGACAGAGGGAACTTGAAGAGTTAAACATTTGCTGATCAAGCCATTTACAGGATACCTGAAAGGCAACATTTCCAAAATCTTGATCATGTTATGGATCCCCCTGTGGAATCTATTCCATTAAGCCCCTTTATTTGCATTGGCTTCATTTTACCAGGTAGAGCTTCTCATAGGGTGCTGCTTTGCTTTATATTTTGAGGTGCTTGTATGTATGACAAAAGCTGGACTTAGCACATGAAAGGGGAACAAGGCGGATAAAATGAAGTCCTTGAGACTTGTCTGAATCAGGGTAGTTTAGGTCACTCCGTCTCTGTTCCATGTAAACCAAGTAAAAGGGTTTTTTTGTTGTTTTTTTTTTAAATCACTATATTTGGAGGGATCAGCAAGAAGAAAAATCCATGTTTGCTGAAATCCCAGTCTCTGTAATGTTTTACCTTAAGTAAAAAAAATGGTGCTGTATCTACATTCTGTATTTTTTATTAAACAGTTATATAGCTTTTGCAATCTCTCTGCGGGACTCCTCCTTACTTGCCTTGTCCAAAATGGACAGAACTTCCCATCATCTTTAACCAGTCCCTTAAAAACACGTAAGCAGCTCCTGCTGTAAAAGATATGTAGGCCTAGGGGGATTTTGTTAATTTAAATGTAGGATTAGGGATGATTGGAACATTTACACAGTTTTTCTCTCTTCACATTGTTCTTATTCCAGCCATTAATAAATGTTTACCACCTGAGCACTGAGAGCCAGGATCCCAGTGTGCTTATCAGCATTGTTCTCTGAATTAACCAGAGCCTGCGGCAGGTTAACTTTAACAGCTAACCTGCCCAGGGAATCTGAGTGAATCCTCACTCCTGGCAGACAAGCTAGATGTGATCTCTTTTATGAGACCGACTAAATAGTTGGAAAAAATTGTTCTTTGTAAGCTTTTGGGCACAA